GAGCTGTGCGGTGAGGAGTGCGGCCTGGGAGTTCCTGAACAGACCGTGATATCACCGGCTCGGGCTGGAGTCACACTTCCCCGCGACCTTGCGCTGCACGGTGGCTGTGCGCGCCGCCCTCAGCCCTGGTCAGTGTGTGCAGGCTCGACCTGTGTCAGCAGGCCCTTGTCCTCTGGGCAGTGGAGCTTCAGGCGTGGGGCAGAGCCCCTCTGCATGCGTCCAGCCCTCTGTGGTGTGACAATGACAGTGGCACTGGGAGCCACACTGAGGTCACACGTGGTGGACACTCCGCCCTCTGCGCTGTCGTCCTTCTGGGGACAGAGTCTGGAGGTCCCCTGGGAGGAGAGGGGGGACCTGCAGTGGCAGCCCCTGCGCTCTGTGCAGGGTGACAAGGCCTGATTTCGGTCCCCACCACCCAAAACAGCCACATGCCATTGCCGCCCCGGAGCCCAGTGAGCCGTGGGGTGCAGTGCCCATCATGCCCACCTTCCTGACTGGGCAGCGCTGACCCCCGCGGGTGACCGGCACCCAGGGGCCTTGCCGCCCTGCTCTCCCCGTCCGGGGGATGCGCCCAGGCCCCCGTGCCCCTGCTGCAGGCCTGGAACAGCGCGGCCCTGCTCTCTGCACTTCGGGCTGTACTCCACTCTGCTCTGCTCCCTCAGACCGTGCTGCCAGGGTTGCCACAGCTGCGAAGGCCCCAGCTGAGAGGTGCTGGTGTCCAAAGAATGAAGTGTGAAGTCTGCTAGGGTTCAAAGGCTTAGGTAAAAAATACATATATTTCAGTAACAGTTTTTTATATAATCCACAATCTTGAATTCTTTGGGTGTATTGGGGCAAGTAAACTGTCCCTGTGCATTTCACCTGTTCATTGTTTTTTAAAATTTTTAAACTTTTTTGGGTTCTGGGAGTTGAACTCAGGATCTCAAGCTTGCCAGACAGGTGCTACACCACTGAGCTAAATTCCCAGCCCCTGTACATTGTTTTTTTGTTTGTTTGTTTTTTGGTTTTGCCTTTTTGAGACAGGGTCTCACTATGCAGTTCAGGCCAGCCTTGAGTTCACTTTGTATCCCAGGCTGGCCTCGAATCACAGCGATCCTCCTGCCTCAGCCTCCTGAGTGCCTCCTGGTTGTTCATTGTTTTAATTGGGACACTGCTGCCATCCTGCAGCTGGCCCTTTCCACTGTGTGCTGAGTGGGTCCTAGAGCTCAGTGGCCTCTGAGCAGTCGCAGCGGTGCGCTCGTCACCACTGTCTGACTCTGGGATGCTTTGTTCCCCAGAAGGAAGAGGGGCTTACACGCAGCTACTCCCTACCCCTTCCTAATGCCTGCAGCCACTCTGCTTCCTCTGCATGGGCTTGTCTGTTTCGGACTTGTATCTGAGAAGTCGTGGAGTAGGTGGCCTCTTGCGTCTCGGGATCACAAAGCATAGTTTTCCCAGGCCTGTCCGCACTGCAGCCTTTGTGAGCATGGCGTGCTTTTCGTGGCTGCCTAAGGCTCCATATCCTGCTTACCCATCTGTCTGTGGTGGCCTACAAGTTGTTGCCACTGTTGTGGCTGTCACGAGTAGCTTTGCCATGTATGTTGTGTTCAGGTTTTGTATGGTGTGTTTTCATTTCTCTAGGAGCGGGACTATAAGTCACTGTCTTAACTTTTGAGAGAGCAGACTTTCCCACAGCAGCAGTGCAGCTGCTGTGTGAGGGGCCAGTTCCTCTCCAGTTGTTCCACGCTCTTGTCAACATTTGCTGTTTTCTTTATCTCTTTACAGGATTAAACTGTAATCCTGCTGGGGGTGAAGTGACATCTTCTTGTTTTGATTTGCCTTTCTCTGGTGACTTATGATGTTGGGCATTTTTTATCTCTCTTCAGAGAAATGTTGATTCAGATTCTTTGCCCAATCTGTTTCTTTATACTTACCTGAATGTGGCTGCTAAAATACATATATTATTTTTAGAGGGTGCTGGGTGCCCTCACATGTGCCAGGCAAGTAGTGTACTGCTGAGCTCTTCTGCAGCCCGGCTCCAAGGTGAAGTTTAATGTTTGTGGGCGGCCGGCATCTTACCTCCATTGGGCGGCAGCACGCTGAGGGATTTTTAAATTGGTAAGGGATAAAAAGACTCTAGGAACCACTTGACAGTTGTGCCTTTACTCTAACACCATTTTCAGGTTGTTAGAGTGAGCTTTTGCACTGATGATCGGTCTCTCTGAGTCTATTTATGCAATTTCATTACAGAGAACTTACCAGAGGCGCCTGATCCCCTGAGTTGACAAAGTTTAGATAGAATTTGAGCCCTTTTCAAGTAAGATTTAAAGTTAAGGTAGACCCCATCCTCAAAGCAGGTTATTTTAATAAGCCAAAGAAATACAGTACATCCCCAGCTTACGAACGAGCTCCCGGGGGAAGTCAGGTTCGCTAGCTCCTGAGTCTTCTCCGAAGCCTGAGAAAGGTTGTACCTTGTGGGTCCATAAGCCGGGACTTAGTGGTCAGCAGTAAAGGTGCCCTCTGCTCCCAGACTGTGACCAGCATCCTGTTCCAAGTTAACTTTTTGAGAGTTAATATTTTAAAAACTAGTTGTTTACATCTTACTGAGCTTTCATGTAGTCGTGGTGGGTGTAGTGGTGCGCCTGTGATCCCATGATCCCAGCCCTGGGGAGGCTGACGCCAGCCAGTAGCCCCTGTCTCAAATAAAACCAAAGAAAAAGAATGGCAGTGTTGACTTGTGGCTTTGAAAATTTCATGTGAAACACTGATCTTATTCTTTGAGAAAAGTCATTCAGCAGTAGCTTGATCAAATGTACTTGTTTCTCAAAGTGGGGTGAGGGGCCCGGGGTGTAGCTCAGTGGCTTCACTGCCTGGCTAGCGTGAGGTCCTGAGTTCGATGCCCAGTACCAAACAAACAAACAAACAAACAAAAAAACAAAGCGCAGTGATGGTGACTGACAGCTGCTTGCCTGGTGCATCCTCAGCTCTTCCTCTGTGCTCTCCTCAATAGTCCTGGTGGCACTTCCAGCCTTTTCTGTGTGTTTTAAGGGACCCTTCACACACACGTGTGCACTGCCTCCCCCCCACCCCCACCAAAATGTGAAGAACAGCCTGATTGTTTAGGGTGCAGTATATTAACTCATTTAAAAATAATTTTGTTGAATGCAAGTTTTTTCTTCCTTATAACATATAGAAGATAAAAAGAAGTTGGGAAACATTTGTGTAGTTACAGCAAGTACATGAGGGAAGATAAAAATATGTATTTTTTTTGGAAGAATAACGATCCATAGAAACAAAAATATCTTTAGATATTTCAAATTGCATCAGCTGCTAAACTCCCAGATAGTTGCAAATGAATGTGGCTTTTCTGGCAGAGGCTGAGGGGACCGGCGGAGGAGGAACGAGTGGAGCTTTCCGCAGTCCTCTTCTGGGTCAGAGGGGACGTGCAGACACGTGACAAGGGTGTGGGGCGCACATGGCCACGTGCGGGGGCTGCCGCTGCTTTTGTAGGAACGGCTTACCCCGGAGAAATCAACTGCAGAGCGAGCTGTTAAGTGTTCCTTCCCCGGTTTTGCTGTGTGTGGAGGCCCAGAGACGAGGTGGTGCAGTCGTGTGACGTGCTGTCCACTCACAGAGTTGTCTGGAGTCTCCGGAACTGTCCAGTCCGCGCCGCTAAGGTCCAGTCTGAATCCCTGAGCGCTGACCCCCTCTCTCACTGCCCCGGAAATGGCCCTGGTGCTGCTTACGCAGCACTGACCCCTTCAGGTGCCTCAGACCCCCAGGACCGTGGTGCATTTTCCTTTCGTGGCTGGCTTGCTGTTTGCCTTAGCCCAGAGTCTCGGAAGCGCGTCTGTGACATGACAGGTGCCAGGATTTCCTTCTTCCTAGGAGCTGCGTGATACTCCCTGTATGTATGTAAGGTTTTTCTTTTCTTTTTTTCTGGTACTGAGAATCGAACTCACGACCTTGCGCTTGCCAGGCAGGCGCTGTGCCACTGAGCTAAATCCCCAGCCCCTCCCTGTATGTATGTGTCACGGCGTGTTTATCCATTCATCTGTCAGGGCCACTTACCTGGTTCCCTGCTGTGACTAACCGCGGGGAATGTGGGGTGCAGCTATCTCGGAGGAGCCAGCTTTAATTTTATTTATTTTACACCTGTAGAAATGGGACTGTGGGATCCTGGGGAGATATTTCGTCTTTTCAGTGGAACGTCTCCAAGCTCTTCCCAAGAGTAGCCCAAGTTTCAAGCTGTGTGAATCTGGTTCCCACGGAGTAGGCTGTCCCATCCCTTCCCAGTCTCTGCTGCGCCTTGCAGATAAACACGCCCTGGAAAATCTCTCCGGAGACCCTGCTGCTGTCTTCACGGGTCATGGGCGCGGTCCATCCGGTGGGGTTCGTGCCTGGGTCGCCATGGGTCGCACCCGGGAGCAGGCTGCAGGGGCTGGCGTTGGGCTTTGCCTTTCTGTGGGCGCTGGATCCTGTGCCACGAAGGCAAGCTGTCCCTTGGTGGCCCGTCCCCTAGAGTGGGGAAGTCTACCGCCCCCTTCATGGGACTGCTGTGAAGAGAGGGCGGGCGGAGGAAGGCGCGTGGCTGAGCGCGGCAGGAGGGGCCTTGGAGCTCAGCATGGTCTCCTTACCGCGTATTCACCGTTCTTCTTTTGGTTCTGTGCTGCTTTTCCCTCTGCTGCTGGTTTGTCCACTCATGTACCCCACCGTGTCGTACCTCCTCCTCCCCACGGCCACAGACTGCACAGGAGCAGCGAGGCCGAAGTGAAATGCTTGGAGGGCCCCGTTATTGGGGGCGGTGGAGTCCCCTGTGCCCCTGTAGCCAGCCTGGGTTCAGGGTTGGGTTCTGAAGGGGAAGTAGCCTTGGGCCTGCTGTTTTGAGTGGGGGCAGGGGAGCTGGCGCCTGCCCCAGGTCACAGGGTGGCCTGCTGGGTCCTGTCACCTTCCCAGTATGCACGTTGTCGGGGGCTGGGCTGCTCGGCAGGACGCTTCACACTGTGTCTGCTTCCTTGCAGGCTGCCTTAGTGAGCAACATCACCACCGGTGAGAGGCTCATCCGAGACCTGCAAGGTAAGCTGCCCTCCCTGCCCGCGCAGCGCTGGCCCCCAAGAGAACCCGCCTTCTCTTGCACTCCTCCCAGCGCTCAGAGGTGCGTCGATGCTCATGATGCGCAGCGTTAGGACTAATTGAGCAATTTTTTGTGAGGTGCTGGGGATCGAGTGCAGGGCTGTGCACGCTAAGCAGACATTCTGCCGCAAGCCACACCCCTAGTGCTTTTTAAACTTCATTTTGAGATGAGGTCTCCCTGAGCTGCCCAAAACGGCCCCAAGCAGCTGCGATTGCAGACAGGCCGGCAGACAGGCTTTCATGTGTTCTTTATGCCCAGCTGTATTTCCTTAAAACGTTTGCCTTTCACAGTGTTAGTGAGTGGATTGCAGGGAAGGAAGGTGTCAGGCACAGGATTTTGACTCTCACTTATAACTAGGCGAAGAAACACTGGGCTGGGATGTAGGGCAGCGGCAGAGTACTTGCCTGGTGTGTGCAAGGCCCTGAGTTTAACCCTTGGCACTGCTGAAAAAATCGCATAGGTTGAGCATCCCTAATCCGAACATTAGGATTAATGTTTGGATTCCAAAGTGCTTCAAAATCTGAAACTTGGTGAGGGTCAGCATGACGCTACAACTAGAAAATTCCACACCTGAACTCACGCGCTGAGTCATAGTGAAAATGCACAAAATTACTAAAAATATCACAATTCCCTTCAGTCCCCAGATACAGAGTGTAGATGAAGCGTGCATGGATCTCATGCTTGTACTCACATCCTGAGATACTGCAGAAAACACTCCGGTTCTGAAACAGTCGGAAACACATCTGCTTCCAAGCATTCCTGATAAGGGATGCACAACCCTCTGTGATGTGTGTGTGAACTGTTCTCTATAGGTGCAGGGAGAGAGGGAGAGAGAGGGAGAGAGACAAACAGACAGACAGAGAGAGACAGAGAGACAGGGGGGATGTTTAATTGGGTCACACAAACTTGGATTTTCTTCAGAAAACTCAGAAAACCTTTCCAGCCCAATGCAGTTCTTTCTTTGCTCTGTGATGCGGGGTGGTGACTCAGGAGGTTTCCTCTGGGTGGTGGGGGGCAACGTCCTCAGGGAGGAGCAGCGGAGCCCTGCTGTTGCTGAGGACTTGAAGGAGCTCAGGGCTTGGGCAGCTCCGTGAGCCACAGGCGCTCGCCCTGGGACAGCAGCTGGAAGCTGCGATGGCTGATGAAGGCCTGACGCAGCCAGGAGGGCAGAAGGACTATTTAGTTTTTCTCTTTTCAGTAATTTAAATCTAAAACTGATGCTTGACTCAGTTATTGGGAATCTTAAGTATGTTTGGCACAACGTACATGTGTTAACTCACTTCTTAACTGTAAATTTTATTAAATCGAAATTCCAGTCAAGAATTTCTAATAAGCCAGGTGTGGTGGTGCATACTTGCTATCCCAGCTGGGAAGCTGAGGCAGGATCGAAAGTTCAAGCCCAGCCTGGGCAACTTAGTGATTGGCAAGACCTTATCTCAAAATCTTAAAACGGATGTAGCTGAGTGTGAAGGCCCTGGGTTCAGTCCCTAGGACCGCAGAAAACAAAACCTATTTTCAATTTAACAACCAAATGAAAATGTTCTATGATTGTAAAATACACATGACGTTTCAGAGCCTGGAGAAGAATTTTTAAAATCTCTTCCAAAATGTTTACATTCAGGATATATTGGTATGATAGCATTTTCTATCAGGTTAGATAAGATGTATTAGAAAAGTGCCACCTGGTTTTACTTACTGTTTAGAACTGTGGCTGTTAGGAGCATAAATTCCCTAGGTGGCTTTGGGCAGCACCGGTCCATTGCAGACTAGGCCCTAAGTCCCAGTAAGAGGATCTGAGACCTGTTTCGTTGCGGGTGCTTCATCAGCTCCCAGTGCGGGCTTGTGCCGCCCCCGCGCACACACACAGCCTCCGGTCTGCTGCTGTCTGCGGATGAGTTTGTATTCTGCACAGGTGTATGTGTGGAATCAAACCGTCTACACCTGTCCGGCTGGCTCCTTTCATTAACGTAATTGCTGTGGGGTCCGTCTGTGTTGTGTGGGTAGCCGCAGAGCATTCCTTTTCTTTGCCGAGCAGCATCTGCTGTCCCATACTTGGTCTGATGTTATGGACTCTGTGTCTTTAAGACGGCTTAATTGAAGTGACCATTCCTGGCAGAGTTTCCCTTTAGAGCCCGTGTCAGTGTGTGTGGACAGCAGCCGGTCTCACAACCATCACTGCTGTCCTCACTCCAGGCGGTGTCCTTAACCTGGCCCTGGTGCTAACCCTTGCGGTCATGCTGCCGCTTGCCTGGCCTCAGGCACTGCTGAGGTATCACCTGTGGACGCTTCTGAGACTGGTCTGTGTCCCTGAGGATAGCAGTAGTTCCTGGAACCCCTGCCCCAAGCGTCTTGCTAGTCTCGGCTGTAAGCATAGACACTGGGGGCGCTGGCAGTTGTCCCGGGCCGTGTCTGGGCCCTGCTTGCTACTGTCTCCCTCTCTGGTAGCCAGCATTGCTGCTTTGCCTTCTGCCCAGCCTGGCCAGGCAACCGTGCTGGTCTCTGCAGCGCTTTTGTGAACAGAACTGTCAGGCAGAGGTGAGGGTGATGAGTTCTTCTGGGAAGTGACTGTGCCCTGGCACCATGGGGAATGGCACATGGTGCACAAGTGCCGAGGGCAGCGTCCCCATGGAGGGCTGCTTAGGGGCCATGTGTCCAGGTCAGGATAAGGGACACAGGTATGGGAGTGGCCTCCGAGGACAGCTTAGGGCTTGCTCTAAGATGAAAGTGGACACATAGATCTCCCAACACATGGTAAGGGTTGGAGGTCAAGGAGATTCAACAGACATTTGAGAAAGTGAAGCCCAGGTTCCTCAGTGGCTCTCAGCCTGCTGGGTGTGGGCTGGCAGTGGCTGGGGTGTCTCCTCTCATTTTTGCCCTCTTCTCCCCTTTGTGTTCTGACATGTGAGTCTAACCTGGCATGTTTCGGGGGCCGGGGTGACTTGTCCTCTCCTTGGCACAGACCAGCTGAAGGCCCTGCAGAGGAGTTACGGCCGGCTGCATCAGGACGTGCTCCAGTTCCGGAGGAACCAGACCAACCTGGAGAGGAAGTTCTCCTATGACCTGTGAGTGCCTGTGCATCCCAGCCGGGAAGGGGCAGCCAAAGGCCAAGCTCAAGTGCAGCTGGCTCAGAGCACAGAGCTCTCTGCACTTGGGAGGCTGAGGCAGGAGGATCCCTGTGAGTTCAAGGCCAGCCTGAACCACATAGTGAGACCCTGCTTCAAAACAAAAACAAAAAAAACAAAAACATCACAGAGCTTGTGATATGTGCAGGGCTCTGTGAGAAAGAGGTTCTTCTGGGGCTCGTGTCCTTTAGAAACTATGAATTTGGTTTTAAAAGTGTTGGCAAGTGCTTCAGAAGAAATGGGCTAAGTGTCAGCCAGCTGGGTTCATAATACAAACTAAAGAAAAAGACACACATACTCCAGTGTGCGCACACATGCCACGCCCCCCATACATATACACATGGCAGTTCTCAGCAGGAAGAGAATTGTTCAACATGCCATAAAACTCAGTGTACCTTAAAACTTTGTAAAGCACAGGGCACTAGTTAGCCAGCAGTCTAATTCCTTTAGAAATGAGTTCTAGGACTGCTCAGATGCAGGCTAGATCAAACTCATATACTAAGGGACGTTTTGGCAAAATATTACTAGAATTTATTACTGGATGATGACATTGTGGGTATTTTATTTTCTTGAGGCTTTTATAGTGTTTTCCCAAATGTCTGCAGGGAGAATGGAATACTTTTGTAATCAGAGAGTGAAGCCCATTGGGAAGGCAGTAAAAACCAGTTCACGAGGTAGAGAGTAAACCTGCAGCCTGTTTACTTTCCCACCGTTCTTCGCGTTCTTCCTGTCATAAAAGCAATAAGAAAAAGTGTGGGCATCCAGGGAGAGTGCCGCCAGGTATTACCTCAGCGCCCCCATGCCTGACCTTTTCCCCTTGACTGACGTGTGAGTCCAGGCCCACAGCGCAGGACGTTTTCTTCTGTAATTGCTGTGACCATAAGAAATTATAACAGTATTTTTCACTTATTCTCATTATAGATAGAAACTTCATGTAGTTCCCATGTTTCATTATTTACCATTATTTTGCTTTATTTCCTCTACAAGACATCCACCTGCAGGCATAGCGCATCACTAAGTGTGATCTGCCAGGTCACTTTCTGAAGGGTTTCAGCGCGTGCCTCACCCACCGCCCTCATGGGGATGCCCCTGTTCTTGTAAAACACTGCCCACCCGCCTGAATTTCTTCCTCATCACTCTAAAGCCGAACACCATGGGACGCATGAAGCCCAGACATGGCCGTGTGCCCCTTTGGGACAGGGTAGGTCTGGGAGCACGTCGCCAGGGCGTTCCCGTGTGACTGTCGTGCACTGGCACAAGCTGAGCCGGGCTGTGGCATTGTGGAATCACGGCTGTGTGTGCAGCCTGTCACCGACCAATACTTTGTCACATGGCCTGTGACTGTAATCACACTGAAGACGTGGACACAGAGTCCGTACAAGGGCAGCAGCACCGGAGACGCGTCTAAACTTCATTCAGCCACTCGGGGCGTTCTCGGGTGGTGGGCAGTCTCACCCCCACTGTGGCAGTGTCTGGGGATGCTTTTGTCCAGACCAGGGAGCTGCTGAACATCGGACAGAGCAAGAGACAGCCTTACGTGGCCCACAGCCTCTGCAGCGCCAAGGTTCGAAAGCCTGAGTGGGGCTAATCATCAAAGAATTGCACTTGGACAAAAACGAAGTACCCAAGTTTCATTATTATTCTTCCTGAAAAGATACCGTAATGCTTTTATTTCCCCCCATGGATGGAAACGCAAAAGGCCATTCATGGTCTCACCTGAGAAACACTGACCCAGAAGATGCAGAGGTAGCTGGAGGGCAGCAGGGCACAGTGCCCGGGAAGGACGCATGCTCCTACACAGTACTCACCCGGGTCGAGTGTGCACATGGCACACTTGTTAGCTTAGACTAACAGCTCTTTTTGAGAATCTGAGGGGAGGTTTGGGCACCTTGGTAGCATACCTGATGTACAAGCCAGTGCTTTCTCGGGGCCAGCAGTGAGTGCGCATGCCCACCTCCTCCTCCACGGTGCAGACATCGCTGAGTCAGCGCTGCCCCATCTGGCACAGCCTGCAGCTTTCCTGCCCAGGACACTTGGGATAACCCATTGTTGCCGTGTCCCACAGCGCGAGGAGCAGCTTACACATGCCGTGCTGCAGTGTAGCACAGTACTGAGCGATGCCCCTGCTCTGGATGAGAGGACTTCCTGCTTTGAGCTCAGGACTGTGGTGGTTCTCTCGGCCAACAGTTGCATCGGTTAGAATAATCACCAGGGCCAAGGCCTCCAGGTCTCTATGAGTTGGCACCCGTTAACCCTGGGCTGTGGCCCTCAGCTTTCAGGAAGTAAGGCCATCACAGTCTGCGCAGGGTGTGTCTCAGAATTTGAGCTTTGTGCCAGTTGTTGCCCTTAATCTCTTGAGCTGGAAAGTGGAGAATGAACCTCACTTGCTCAGCCCAGAGTCCGAGGCCCTCTGTACTTCCTTTGGCAGGCTGGGGGCAGGTGAAACCAGTGTTTCCTTTGGTAGGGTTAAAGGTTGCAGATGAGCTGCTCGTTTAGTTCTGCAGGGTACAGCTGTCTCTTTGTTCGTTGTGTTTAAGCTCCTGTGTGCCAGTGTACCACCCGTGAGTTACGCTGCATGCTTTTGAGAAGTTTATTCCTGTGAATTTTTCCCTCGATCTCAGCTCTCTGAGGTCAGAACTCTGTGTTTCATTCTTTCTGCAGCACCAGCTCCCTTCCGTGTGTGGAGCGCTATGATCCAGCGTGCTTTGAACTGGAGTGTGCTGTAGGTCAGGGTGAGCAGAGCACATGCTCGGCTGGGAAGGGCTGGCTACGCAGCAGAGGCTGTGGTGGAGTCTGGTTCCCAGCTCCAGCCTTAGCCACGCGGTCTGTGGCAGGCAGTCAGCTCACTTGCCTCTTAGCGTCCTCACTGGCAAGGCAAGTGGGTGATTCTCTCAGCTGCTGTACAGCTCTGATGCTTGCCAAAATACTCCTAAATTCCAAGGAGAAGGCGAAGCCTCCAAGTACATAACAAAAACCAGTTCTTTGGCAACTGGGTGTCCTCTAATCCAGTTCCGATTTGACACTACCCAGAGTTAGGTCCCACGGGTGAAGGACTCAAGTCCACAACAGTGTCCCCACTTCACACTCCAGCCATAAGTCTTGTTGTCCCCGCGCCACCCCACTTCTACTGAGATGCCTACAAATTCAGGGTTACCTGCCACTCCCCTTAGGTTTAAAAATTTTCCAGAATGACTCACAGAACTCAGGACAGCTATACTTACAGTTGTGGTTTTATTATACAGGGCACGGCTTGGAAGCAGCCACACAGCACAAGCTGTAAGTTCAGGTGTTTGTTGGGGTGGATAGACACGGATCTGTCTGGTGGAGTCAGGCTGCTGCCCTTCCAGTGTGTCAGTATCTCCCCGGCCGGGAGGCTAACCACGCCGAGGCTCCGGTGGCTGGCTGGTGCGCATTATGTACCGTGGCTCATGAAATCATTGGCCATGTGATTGGACTCAGTTCCCTTTCTGGACGAGTGGAGCTGAATGTTCCACCCCTCCATTTCTGTGGTCGCTTCCCCTGGCAACCAGTCCATCCTGAAGCCATCTACTTGGAGTCACCCTGACTTGTGAGTCACTGCTGAAGCTCAGGTCCATCCGCAGGAGATTTTGTGAATAACCAAGCACTCCCGCACTCAGGAAAACCCAGTGCTTGCAGAATTGCTGGTAGTCAGTGACAAAGATCACATCTGTTTTCTTATTCTACAGATTGTATTTACAATTTTTTTTTGTAATCTGTAAAGCTCACCTTTTTTAGAGCAACGTGATAAATCTTTAGTGGGCTTCGTCTCACTGCGGTGTTTTGTTTTTGTCATTAGTAGTTGAGCACAGGGACACTGCCTTGCCCTAAGCTCCTCTGCAGGGAGTGTTCCTGAAGCAGGAGAGAGCAGAGGTCTGTGCTCTCACTGAAGTGGATTTCAGAGTCTGATGTGGGAGCAGCATGGCACATGGTCACATCTGTAAGTATTTGTCCTTTCTTTGGCCTTTTTTCACCAAAGGAACCAGTGTATCAACCAGATGAAAGAGGTGAAGGAGCAGTGTGAAGAGCGAATAGAAGAGATCACTAGAAAGGGAAATGAAGCTGCAGCTTCCAGAGGCCTGAGCAAAAGGAACGACCAGGTAACAGGGTTTTCTGCCTGGAGGGTGTAGAGGTGAGGTTGTCCTCCCTCCAGGCGTCTCCTCCCCTTTCTCCGCTGTCTGATTTGCTCTGTCACTGCTCTCTGCTGTGGGGTTGTTTCCTGAGGTGCAGCACAGCAAAGCCTGGGCCCAGGATGCCCAGGCCCGTCAGAGATGTGGCCCCTGGGCCCAGGTGCCGGGCTGGCTGGGATTCCCTCCTTCAACACACAGAGCCGCCTATGAGGCAGATGCTGCTTTTTATGACTTTGAAGGTGCTGAATCCAGTGGAAATGTTAAGTACTGTGGTGATTGGGGGTGGAGCTGGGTCTCTCTGACAGCACCTCCTGTGCTGTCATCTCCCTCCCCTGCCACTCCAGCCAGGGCCACCATGGCGCAGGGCCTTCCTGGAGATTGTTGATGTTTAGTAATACAACTTTATTGAGGCATAATTCACATTTTATGCTTAGCTCAAACAAAGCTTATAGTCCAGTGGTGTTTGGTATATTTACGTTGTGCAGTCATTGGCATGGCCAATTTTAAAACATTTTGCTGTAAAGAAACTCTTCTTTTGCTTCTCACAGCCTTTCTGTCTGTATATATTTGCCTTACCTGTATGTTTCCCATTAGTGGAATCATACAATATATATATGGCCTTTTGTGTGTGGCTTCTTTTCCTTAATATAATACATTTAGGATTCATTCATATTGTAGCCTATTTCGGCAGTTTGTTCCTTTTATAGCTGAATAATTTTCCATTGTGTGGATGCATCATATTTTATTTACTGACAGTTGAGGGACATTTGGGTTTCTACATTTTGTCTGTCACAAATAATGCTACTTTGAATGTTTATGTACAAGTTTTTGTCTGGACATATATTTTCATTTTCTTGATTAATACCTAGGAATGGAATTGCTGGGTCATACGATAGTCTATATTTAACCTACTGAGAGACTGCCAGACCATTTTCCACAGTGGCCATACCATTTTACATTCGCACCATCAATTTCTGAATGTTCCTTTTCTTTGCATTGTTGTTAACTGTTGTATCTGTCTTTTTTAGTATACCCCTTCTAACAGAAGTGGAGTAGTACCTCACTGTGGTTTGGATTTCCATTCCCTAATAACCAGTGATACTGAGCATCTTAATGCTTTATTGGTCATTTGTGTATCTTGGAGAATATCTGTTCAGATACTTTGCTGATTTTTAAATTAATTTGTACTGTTAAGTTTTAAGTTTGTAATATATCCTGCATATAAAAAAATAGATGATATTGGATATGTGATTTGCAAGTATTTTTTCCAGTTATGCAAAACAAAGAGTTCTACCAATGAGCTACATCCCCACCCCATTTTTCCATTATGTAGGTTGCTTTTACACATTCTTGATGGTGTATGTTTGACCCATTTTGAGTTAATTTTGTACATGGTGTGAGGTAGGGCTTCAATGTCAGTATTTTCTTTGTAGATATCAAGTTGTCTTAGTAACATTTGTTGAAAAAAAACCACACAAGACTGTCCTCTTGCTCAATGAATTATCCTAGCACCTTTGTCAAAAATGTTTATTGTAAGTAAATCAGTTTACTGTAAGTATGAGGGCTTCTGTTTATTATGTTCATACCATATGGTCTTGATTACAATAGCATTGTAGTGAACTTTGAATTCAGGAAATGTGAGTCCTCCAGTTTTGTTGTTCGTTTCTAAGATTGGGCTCTTCTGCATTCCTTAACTTTCCATATGAATTTTAGGATTGGTTGGTTTGTTCCATCAATAAAGTCAGTTAGGATGTTGCTAGAGATTAGGTTGGATGTGTAGATCAATTTGAGGAATCCTTGAGTACCATTTTAACAAGGTTAAGTCTTAATGAATATCTGTTCACTTACTTGGTTTTTTAAAAATGTCTTTCAATGGTATATTAAGAAGTCTTGCACTTCTTTTTTATTTTTTTTATTTTATTTTATTTTATTTTTGGTTTTTCTCCGGTACTGGTGCACTTCTTTTTTAAAAACTAATTTCTATTTTATGCTGTTGTAAATGGAATTTTCTTTCATTTTTGCATTGTCCACTGCTAATATTTAAAGTATAACTGTTTTTATATTGATCTTCTATCTTGTAACCATGCTAACTTTACTCTCTTATTTTTGTTTTTTGGTCATTAATGCTTTAGGTCTTTCCATATATAAGATTACGTCATATAGAGAGACAGTTTTATTGTTCCTTTTCCAGTCTATATGCCTTTTATTTCTTTTTATTGACTGATTCTTTTGGCTAAAACCTCTAATGTAATGGTAAGTATGAGTGCACATTGCAGACATCCTTATTTTGTTCCTAATCATGAGGCTAATAGTCTTTCATTATTGTTTGATTGTAGCTATAGCTTTCACTATATCAAATTGAAGACATTGCCCTAGTTTTAATTTTTTTAAGTGTTTATCAAAGAAGAGTGGTTGGATTTTGTCAGATTCGTTTTTTGCATCAATTGAAAAGATCTATGTGTTTTGTTCTATGTTGATACCTGTATCATTGATTGATTTTTTTTATGTTAATCCAGCCTTGTATTCCAGGATAGTCATAATATATGATCCCTTATATTTCACTGGATTTGATTTATATTTTGTGGAGGATTTGGATGTCAGTGATAGAGTTTGCTCTATCTGGTAGTACCTTCTGGTAGTACCTTCGTTTGATTTTAGTATTTTCTGGTAGTACCTTAGTTTGATTTTAGTATTGCGATAATAGTGGGCTCACAGAATGAATTGGGGAGTATTCCTTCCTGTTCTGTCTTTTTTGTAAAGTTTGCAATTCTTTAAATGTTTGGTCGAATTCACTAGGGAAGCTAGCTTGACCTAAGCTTTTCTTTGTGGAAAGTTTTAAAATTATGAATTCAATCTCTTTTCCTGTTACAGTTCTACTGAGATTCTTCTGTGTGTTTTTGAGTTAGTTTTGATAGTCTGTGTCTTTCTAGGAACTTTCCATTTCATCTAAGTTACCAGTCTTGTGGCATACAGTTGCTTATAGTATTTCCTCATAATACTTTTGTATGTGTGGTTGCTATGATGTCCTCTTCCATTTTTTTTTATTTATTTTTTAAATAAAAGGAGGAAAACATTAACAGACAGACAACATTTTACAAAATAGCAAAAGAACAGTACAGACAATACAGAGTTACAAAGTGATAGGAAATTAACAGTGCTTGTTGTATTACATATTGATATCTTCAGAGTGGTTTCTCATGAATAGAGATCTTCTTTCATTTTTAATTTTAGTAATTTAAACCTTTTTTTATTAACCTAGCTAAGGGTTTTTCAATTTTGTTCATCTTTTCAAAGAACTTTCAGTTTCATTGACTTTCTGTATTTTTCTATTTTCTCTTTCATTTGTTTCTGCTGTAATCTTTATTTCCTTCCTTATATTAGGTTTAGTTTACTCTTCTTTTTTTTTTTTTTTTTTAGTATATTAAGTTGCAAATGATTCAGTTATTCATTTGAGATCTATCTTTTCTCCCTTTTTGGTAGTGACATTTATTTTTCTAGAGCTGTTTTCGGTTCACAGCAAAATTGAGAGGAAGGTACAAAGATCTGTCATGTGCCGCCTGCTCCACATAGACATACCTTCCCCATGGCCAGCACTCCCCTTCGTGGTGCATATGTATGTCATAATTACCCAAATCCCATGGTTTGGACTTACTTGTGCTGTTTGGACAAATGTATAATGGCATGTATCCATCATTACAGTATCACACAGTATTTTCATTGCCCTAAAACATTTCTTCTACTCTACCTATTCATTCCTACCCGCTTCATGAGCCCTAACAAATACTGGCCATTTACTATCTCCCAAGTTTTGTCTTTTCCAAATATCTTATAATTGAAATCATACCATTAGTAGCCTTTTCAGATTACTTCTTCTACTTAGTAGTACACACTTATGGTTTCACTGGGTCTCTTTAGCTCTGAACTGCTGTATATAAATTGTCCGTATATACCACAGTTGGTTTATCCTGCCACCTACTGAAGGACATTGTGGTTGCTTCCAAGTTTTGTTAATTGTGAATAAAACTGCTATAAATATCTATCTGCAGTTTTTTTGTATGAGTGTAAATTTTCAGGTCCTTTGAGTAAATGCTAAGTAGTGCCCCTGCAAAATCATACCACAGTGATATATGTGCTCCCATGTTTATAGCAGCACAGTTTGTCATAGCTAAATCTTGGAAACAACCCAACGGCCCATCAACTGAGGAATGGATAAAAAAGATGTGGTAATTTTATACAATGCTGTACTACTCAGCTATAAAGAAAGATAAACTGAAGGTTTTTATAGGTAAATGGATGCAACTAGAGAGTACTTATAAGTGAAATAAATCAGACTCACGTGTAAACATCGTATTGTCTCCCTAGTGTAAGAACCTGAAAGAGTAAATAAGACACAAAAGGTACAATAGATACAGTGAAAGGGAAAGAAACTGCTCAAAAGGAAAGAACTGGGATGGGGGAAGAAAAAAAGGAAGAAAGAAGAAAGGGAAAAAAAATACATACACACACACACACAAGATAGCTAAGATAATTGTACTACTAATTTCTATTGGTTTATTGAAAGGAACAGTTAATGCTTAATTATTTGATGAATTTTGCATGCCTGTATCTGGTAATCTGAACAACTACTTTGAAGATAACAATATGCAATGTAATAATCATTGTTAATTTCCTATCATCTTGTTTTCAAATTCTGTTCATTTTTATTTTTTAATTTTTATTCTCTTAAAAAATTATGGAAAAAATTTGTGTCATTTTCTATGAAACTGTGTAAACTGTCTTCCAGAGTAGCTGTAACATTCTGTGTTCACATCAGCAAAGAATGAGAGCTCCTTTTGGTCCACAGCCTCACCAGCATTTGGTGTCAGTGGAGTTTTAGATTTTGGTGTGTAGTAATGTCCCACTTTTTTTTTTTTTTTTTTTTTTTGTTTTTTCGAGACAGGGTCTCGCTATGCAGTTCAAGCTGGCCTTGA